CCAAAACTTTTTTCTTTGAATAATAATAAACTTGTAAGTCATGAGCGATTTACAATTATACGATTTCTATTCAAATATTCCTCGTCCAATATGCTTCTGTTGAGTTAACGGAATTCTGAAGTAAAATCGTGCGCGTTTGACGCCTTTCCGAAACTTTTTGATAGAAGAAAAATTCTGATATTTTGTAAGAATTAAAAGTTTACTTATCGCTCGATGTAATAACAGAATAAACTTGCCCATACACAAGTTTGTCAACTATAAATGAAAGAATAAGAATTGCACTGACTGTTCATCAACTGCGCGTTGGATTGACTGTTCCGGCCGACAATGATAACATACGCGCTCATTGTTCTTGAATTAGACCTTTTTCAATAGCTTTCATACATCGTCATTTCGCTGGTGGGGCCGCTTTCTAATCTGCTCAGTCTGTAAATAAGTAGCGGTAGTAAGACTAGTACTGTATTCGAATAGTACATGTTGCCCAAATGGTGCATCGCTTCATTCAGCAATCCGGGAGTGGGCAAAAATCAGCTGAAGACATTGAAAGGCGGCGTTGTCCTTATGTTGATTTGCACGTCGAGTACGTGTCCACGTTTCGTGATCACTAATACTAATATCCCCATACAAAAACCCAAGGAAAAAACCTGAGTTATTCCATGTCATCGAGTATGAAGTGTACCGTCCCTTTGGTATTTGAATTGCGAGAAAGTCAACCCTTAGATATTAAATAGAAGTTGCAACACAAAATTGCAAAACTTCTAACGATGTTCAACAAGTATTAACGGCTTCTTTTAAGAAAATAAGTTTTTCTTCTATAAAAGATTGGAAAAGAAAAAGAATGCTTGAGCCTTATGGTCAGAAGGCCCATTGTTCGTTTTATTTACGTAGTTTCGGTACATTTTCAATGGAGATTGAGACAACTCGGTAATTTATCTTAAACGCCACACGCCACAGGGCCGTCCAAACAGTTGGAAGGATGGTGATACAGGTCTTATCCGAAATAGGAATAAATCTAACAAAATTTCATTTCATTGCATTCACTTACTTTCTCGCGTATGTCAGTTTCCCACTTTCGAAATTTCTCTATCCAAACGTCATTCTCTTCTCCCCACATCGCGGCCCTTGGCGTAGAAACCTCCTGTGACGATACAGCAGTAGGCGTTGTCACTTCTTCTCGTGTGAAAGTCATAGAAAGAGTCTACCGACAGTGATTAGAAACAAGTGGAAAAGGCAAGAGTTGACGTTTTTAAGGATGTTGATATCATCGCTGTTACAAAAAGGGCCGGGATTAGGTCCCTGTTTAGGCGTTGGCGTAGACGCGGCTAAGAGTCTGGCTTGTGGTTTGAGGTAAGAGGTTTGAGAATTGGGAAGGCATGTAAGAAGTCTGTGAAGTTGGATCCGTTTTACAACGAATCTGATTTTTTGAAGCCAATAATCGGGTTACTAAATATCATGCTCGTTTCCAAACTTCTTCGTGTTGTTAATTAGGAAGCTCACGTTCTAACTCCGCGTCTCTTAACCCACTTCTTTCCTTTCCCTATTAATTTCCGGTGGCCATACGCTGATACTGTTAACCCCCACGTGAATTCTCTCTAGGACGGTTGATGACTCGATCAGTGAAGCATTTGACAACGTCACCGGACTCTTAAAAATTCCTTGGCTTCCCGGGTGCTGGTGGTCCTGGTGCTGCAGTCGAACGCTACGCTCCTCTCGGCAACGCCTCTAAATATAACTTCCCAATCCTAATGACCCAAAGACATACTGTATCTCAACTTCAAAATTCAAATATGAGTTTTAGTTATTGAAAACGACAGTGAAATATTTGATTGTGAGGAAAAGTTGGATGTAGAAAATGAAGAGGTCAGGAGAAATCTGGATCTGGCAGCTGTGTTTCAATATGCCGCTGGGGCATTGATCAGAAAGCTGCGTCTGTGCATGGAAGAATGCTGCAAGGGAGAGTTGAATGTGAGGAAATTGGTTTGTAGTGGAGGTGTTGCGAGAAATGGGTTTGTTAGAGAGAGGTAAGGAAAACAATAATAGGGGAGGAAGGATTCTCCTAGGAGTAAGTTTACTGCATCCCAACATATGACTTCTCACTTTCGTCTTTTTAATTGTTCTTATAATAGGTCGAACAAGCTAGCGATGGAGGACGATTTTTTCCCACTTCCTGAGCTTTGCGCAGATAATGGAGTAATGATTACCTGGGCTGGTATCAATGCAGGGGTTACTTTTTTGAACAAAATACCGAAATGGCCGATCGATAATTTGGGATAAAGAAATATGGGTCAACATACTTGAAGAGTGAGTGACCTGTGAGGGTGATGGAGATGTTCTCAGTTGCGAAGACACGTCATGGGAGTAACCACTTTTTCGAAGATGAAGAATTTCTTCAAGAAATATGTCTCTATTTCATTCAAAATTCATGAAAATAAACAACGCATTTCTCAACAGACTATGTACGTATTAACATTCATTCAAACTTATGGTGCGAGTCGAACAAAGGTACCGCCATATTTTCATGT